GTAGTAAGGCACAAAGTTAGTTTTCCTCAGAGATGGAAAAATGAAAATAAAATGAATTACAATATCCATTTCCACAGGTCCAGTGCTTGGTGCATTGCATACAACTACAGAAGGAGCTCCTGAAGCTGTTCAGAGGATGTGATCACCATCCTAGTTTTCTTCCTGCTTTAATTAAGGAAATATGGTGCCAATAAATCCAGACTGCTGGAGATCAGGGCTGGTTTCATAAGCTAGTGACAAATAATCATATGAGGTCCCATGCTTAGAAGCCTCCAAGCTTAATTCAATGTTCTGCTTTCACCATCTTGAAATTCTTAATGATTTCTGAACAAGGGGCCCTGAATTTTCATTTTGCATTGGGTCCCACAGCTGATCCTGCCTGAGATTTAGATATGTTTGACAGTGGCATTTTTATCTCCAGTCAAATGGAATGTAGTCATTTAAATACAAGTCCACTATTCAATATTTATTCATTCAACAAATGTTTTTTGACTATGTTAAATACTATGATAGGTACCAGGGATGCAATGGCAAACAGTAAGCTCTTGTCTCTGTCCTTAAAAAGCTTTACCTACTAATTGAGGAATAGTGACAAGAGAAAAGGATATTACATTAAAATGTAATAAATAGCACGAGAGCAAAGATACTATGGGAACACATGATAGAGTTATCTAGAAGTAAAATCCCCTTGTAAAGAATGTCCACATTTTGTTATATTGATGGTCAAACTGTGTTTTCTCTTTCTGAAGAGTGATGTGCAAGATATCTGTTTCAGTATAACATTAGTATTACACTTTCTGCTACAGCTAGAATTGCTAGCATTTACGCTAGTTAGCATACAAGGTTTTCATTAACTTCTAAGAAGATGAGACAGGAAAGCAAATTGTTCTCTCACCTTGCTAATTTAATGCTGGTAGGTTTTTCCTTTTAAGTGAAATGCAATGATGAGCAACTTTTAATTAATTATTTTGAAAACAGTTTCCCCAGAGTTAAGAGACACATAGGCCCTTATTATACTTGCTGCTAAAGAGGACATGATTAATTCATATTTTTCTCAGTGGCCCTAATTATTTAGTTAATCCTTTCACCCTCTTCTCTACCCCTAAGCCCACGTTAGGAGGCCCACGTATAATGTAGCAGTAACCCAAAGTGAAACAATGCCGTACTGATGTCCAAATTGTTCTGTACGGGATGGTGGACGTGTTTAGTAATAAATGATATGAAAAGGTCTTTTATTGACAAGCTGCCATGCGCTGTTTGCATTAGCGAATATGAGAAGATGATGGCTGCTCCTCCTTCGTCCCCATGGCATTCGGCTCAGTGAGATAGCAGAAAACGCTTCAGTTTACTTAAAGCATTGATAACACCTCTAAATAATTAACCGAGGACTTCCTGTCTTCAATTACTTAATGCTTTTTTTTAACATCTTGAGAGGATTATAAGCAATTTATGGATTTCACATGATGAGTGCACTCGCCACTATTCCCACAAAGCATTTATGGGATCATGTTTCTAAAGCTTTGAGGTAATTAAAAATAAGCATGGAGACAATGGGGCTGAGGCGAAGTGCTCCCCGTCCCTTCTGTCATTTCTAAGGACCTAGATTTTCCGGCTCCAGGACGACTAATGCTACAGCTTCATTAGTGCTCTGTTGCTTAGGGAATGCCTAGGTTTTGGAAATGATGAGAAAATCAAAACATTTATCCTAGGGGGTTCAGGCTGCTCTTGTCTCAAACATTTGAGATGGAATGGGAAATAAATCTGAATATTTTAGTTCATTCCACGAACTCAATGGAACAGTCATTCACATCATAAAGTACTTCTGTAGTGCATCTGGTCAGTCAGCTAACCATGGAACTGAATTTTCCTGGGCAGATAAAATGTTTAACATTATACAGATCTCAGGTTTTAGATTATCTAATGCCTAGCACCATTCCTGTCCCGTAGCAACTGCATATAGGAGGCTCTGTAGTTGGTAAGTTTTTGCTGAAAGAGGGTTTATTTCCTCATTCAACAGAGAACTTCCTCTTTAGGGCTGTATTGCCCAGGTGTAATACTACTCTCTAAATCTTAGAACAGAGGGATGGATCAAATGACTTTTAAAGTCATTTCCTGAATTTGTAAAAATTAGTTATGTGGCAAAAACTGTAAAATATTTATTCTAATAAAAGAGGATCTCTGGCACCAAGATATGTGTATGAAATCTTCTCTCACATAAAAATATCCATTAAAAATGACAATGAAAGGAAGAACTGGTAGAGTGAAGTTATTTAAAGAAAAATCTCTGCAATTATTTTATAATTAATGAGGCTATCAATCCTGTTGGTTTGAACATTACAATTGAATTTGATCCGTTGGCATATAAATGCCGGTTTCTAAAAAATGCAAGCCAATATCATTGGCAAAAATTCAAAGCCAATGCTGGTTAAGTAGATATTACAAGAAGAAATTTCTTTAGCCTTGTATCTCAGTTTATTGTGAAACCTTTACTGGTACAAAGTCTTAATGTGCCTTAATTTGGTTTTCAAAACTCTGTAATTAACATTCCATTGTCTATGCCAAGCCATTCTTTTGATTTTCACCACGGTATCCTGTGTGGAGTTCTGTTTGCAGTTTTCCTTTCCTTGTCAGTCTTTCCTGTTGCTGAGAGCATCTTAAGAGCAGCGATCTTATTTTAGAGCACTTAGTGTATTATCTGGAACACCACAGCTGGCAACTCATCTTTTGGGGAATGAAACAAGTGTTCTGATTTCCTTATAGATGGAGGCAGTGAATGCCCTGGACACCCCGAGGAGGTCAGTTTGCTTCCTCATCATTCAAATGGGTTATTAACAACATCTCTTACTTAGATGGATATGATGAGAATCAAATAAGTCAAAATGTAAACAGTTCTCTGAAATGATAAAGCACCATATAAAGGTGAGGTTTCATTATATTAAGTAAAACAGCATTATTTCAATCCCTTGTGAATGATTTTCACTTCGAGTAAAATAAGATATAAGAAGCCAATTTGATCATTTGAATTGATGAGGGTTTTCCCCATCCCCAGTATCAATGATTTAGCTCAGGGTCTGGTGATAAGGGATGCAACGTGTAAGTTCGAAAACTGTATTAAGCATCTTCTGCAGGCTTATAGCACTTTTGGAAAACCACTGGAAATTCTGTCAATGAATGCTTGCTTATGTGTCAGGGAATTGTGGAGTTTAAGAGTAAAACATGATGAATTTATTTTGCCACCTGTGTAGTGTAGCCTGTGTCTCTTAAGAAAAATCAGGCATATTTTTCCAGCCTTTCTGCACTTACATGTAAGTTTAATGATCTGTGCTATCGATACCCTCTGCAAGGTGTAGGGTGCAACGGAGGGAGGTCATTCTCTAAGGAGGTCTTGGAAGGAGGTGGCTGACAGCAGGGAAAATGTGAAAGTTTGTAAATTCTTGCCCCTGGTCTCAGAATTTAAATTTACAAAGCTGTTTGGGATGATTCAGTAGATCCACTTAATAAATGAATTTACATAATCTCTCAAAGTGTGCTTTTCTGTAAAATGGGGGTAGTAATTCTGTTTAGCCTATAGTTTTCTGATGGAGAATCAAATCAGATAGTGCATGCAAAGTGCTCAGGACAGCATTTGGCACATATTAAATTGATTTTTCCCCAAACGTGTATTTAGCTCTTATTGACATGTTCAGGAGTGTTCTAGGCACTAGAGGTACAACATTGAATAGGTAGACAAGATCCCTGTTCTTTTGGAGCCTACATTTGAGTGGGTGAAGATAGAAAAAGACAAAAAAGACAAAAATCAAACACTAAAATATCAAGCAGTGAGAGGTCTACGATGAAAATAAAACAAAGTAGTGTGGTGGCGTGTAAGAGAAGTTACTTTAGACTGGGTGAGTCAGAAAATGCTTCTCTTTTCTCCAGAAATGACATTCAAGCTAAAATTTGTCAATTATTACTGTAATCGCCACTAGCAACTATCTATTTACTACTGTACTGCACTATTATTATATTATTAAAGTTAATTATAATAAACATTATAATAAAAATACAATTACTATTAATTAATGTTAATAATAATAACAAATAGCCACAACTAGTCCACTGTCAACTAGCTCTGCGTATTAATTACCCACTTAGTAGACAAATGTTAGCTTCTGGCTGATTTTCCCCAGCCTTCCAGTACATTCTTGGTTATACCAGTCCCATTATCTATGAGTATATCCTTGGGGAATGAAAATGCATCTTACTGTTTGTTCGGAAAAAAAAAAGTTAATACTGATGCAAAAAACCCCACACATAATGCGTATCAAAGCCAAATATAAATTATTTCTGAAGTTATCTGCTGTTGTGGCTTATTGCTGCCAGTGTGGGCTCTTCTATTAGCATGGATAAGTGGGACCTGACCATATGTCAAGAGAACACGTCCTTTCGAAGTGACCTCATATATCAAACACACACCCCTGGGATGCTTTGCCCCCCTAACCACAATGACAGACTCTTCCAGTAGGTTTTCCTTTTTTTTTCACCTGTGACCGTATGCTGCCTCCTGTCAGTGGTGTCAGTGTAGATGAGACCTTTCCCAACCTGCCTGATCTGGTACTCTTTAATGACGCCATTTGGTTTCTCAGGGACACTCCAGCTCAGATGCAGAGCCTCTGCACTCGGGGCTGTGATTCGCGGTGGCAGGATGCTCTCCGGAACTCCTTGGGTAGTAGCTGCAACTACCTGAAGACATAGGAATTAAACAGCAATTTATCGTAATGGTACACTAGGTATCCCGATCAATGAGAATGTCACTTTTGTTTTAAAATGTTGTTGTCTGGCCTGGCATATCATTAGCAGGGGCTCGGAGAAGCAGTCCCCTTTTTTTATTCTTTCCCTCCCATCCTATTTAAACAATGAAATCTGACCTTGAATACATTACATAAGTCTCAGACTACCATTTATCACAACAGGTTCAACAACAATTTTGACGGCAGAGTGCAGCGCTCGGTGTTTAAACAAGTAAAATCTGGCTGGCAAACTGTCTTACTAGAGAACTCTTGATAACTCTCTTCCATATGGCCCATCAGTGTCTTTGCATTTTAACAGCCTGATTTTGTACATTTTAAGCACCAGTAAATATGGAGCAAAACCCACATCTGAACTTGCTTGCATATGATATACTTTGAACAGTATAAATGGGTAGACTTTTTTGTGCTCTTCCCATGATACTTGGGATGACTTCATCGTGTGCCAATGTTCTAGAAAAGGAACCAAGTGAGAAGAAAAAAATAATAAATCAACCAATTATTTAGTCAATATTGTCAAAACATAGCTTTGGACAAAAATGGGTTGCATTTGTTTTTTTCAAAGAATTAACCCTGATTTTATTTTTAACCAATACTTTTGGTATCTAGTAGGCATGATCTGTGTCTATGCCAAAAATACGAATTGTTCTAGAACTATGTGGACCATAACTTTTGATTGGGCCAATCAGCTGTCATCTGTCTAAATGGGGGCGTGCTCAGAGAGGTTTCTGGGGTGTCTGTTGAACAAGAAGTTGCACACATACACTGTGGCCAAACAGTTTGACAGAATGTCTTATTTTGATGGTTCTTGCAGTGTGTGAAGATGCTGCTCTTCTAAAGTTTTAAGCATACGAACAGAATCAAAACTGTTCTATGTGTTTGTTTCCTCCTGGGCTTCCTCTGATGAGGCTGGCTTCTGTGAAATGGCTCTTTCTTTATTTTCCTCCAAACTTGTTTGATTATTTCTTTCCAGTCTTCTTTGTGGGCTTTTCTTCCTTCTTCATTTGGTAGTGTTCATCGCCAGTGCTCATCGCCTATGGTGTTCTTTTTTTGTCTCTCGCCATTCTTCTTCAATGACCTTATTTAAACTCATTGCTTTGACTTCCCACATAGATATTTCTAGCAAAATCCAGTCGCTTCTTAATCCATCTTGTAACTAGACATTTTTACTTAAAGTGCCAAGTAGTATCTACTTCCACCACCTGGCGCTTTAAATATATTTTTAAAAATTAATCTTATTCTTTTTCTTTTAACATTTCTCTCTCATCTTGTATTTGATTGCAGAATGGCACCATTTTCCACAAATTGCTGAAGCCAGATATCTTGAAAATATCCATGACTCTTTGCTTTTATTCCTCTGCCTACAGTTAACTACCAAGTCCTGAAGATTGTGTCCCCCATATCTGCTGTATCTTTCTGATGTTCTCCACTCTGACCCCTGCTGCCTGAGTTCAGGCTGTCATTATTTCCTGGCATGGCTGTTGCAGAAGTCTTAGAACCATTTGTCTTCTATGTCAGGCCTTTTTACCCTTTTCTTTGTTTTTCAAAATCAGGCATTTTTTGTTGATGTGATAGTTAAATAGAAACCCTTTTCAACTGAATAATGGTTTGGAAATTTTTATGGATTTTTTTACATCACCTAAAAACAGTTAGTGGAGAAAGAGTGTGAAAGAGAAGATGATATTGGTTCAAGATTTCATTTATTTTTCATTAACAGAACACTGATCTCTCCTTCCAGGTATGTGTATTAGCACTGAGTTAGTGTGACATCCGAACACCCTACTTAATACTACCTTGAGGGGGACATTGTTTTCTTCACTGAAAAAGCCTTCACACTGAACCCTTCATCTCAGAGTTTAGGCACACTCCCCTTACCTTGCTACTGGCAGCACAGCCAGCAACTGTACAAGCTTTCAGCTGATATGAATATTCCTGAAATGGCTGAATTCCTTTTGTATCAGAGAAGCTCAGTGATGTTCCCCGAAAGTGTTCAATTCCATTTCGAAGAAGAATGTAGTAAATAATAGGGCCTAAAAGACACAGTGAAATGCCTGTATTTGAGTGTCTTGTCATTTTACCTATTTGCAAACAACTTAAAATCTTAGTGTTATGAAGAAAGGGGATACTACAGCTTTATTTCACTTTAATTTACTATTATATTGCCACACTCAAGCACTTCTTAATTATACTATTATGGAAGAGATGGGTTCTTGACATAGATAATCAAAGAGTCATTCATGTTTATTTCTCTTCACTACCAAACAAATTTACTTTCAATATTAAAACTATTCTGCCATCCCTGAATATGCTTTGCTTATTTGAAAGCAGCTTAGATATATGCTGGGATTCAAGGAAATTTTACTTATTTATTTATATATTTTGAATCAAAATTGATGAGGGCTATACCATAAAGTGAATGATTAGTTGCAAAACAACTAAAGTTCCCTTTATTAGCAAATACTTTCTAGCAGTTAATTGCATGCCATTTAAATTTAGATTATATTCATTTCAATTTCCTTATGGATTTATAGGATTATGTTATTTCTATTTTAAAAGTAGCTAATACCATTTGATTGTATAGGTTTTTTCCAGTTTAAGACAATTGCATCTTCAAGATTGTCCATTTTGGTCCACCTAGGGGGACTCACTCCCTGAGGCACATCCTCTTTTGTTCTGGCTCTAACAGCTTTGCTGAATCCTCGCCCATAGCTATTCCATGCAGAAATCCTGTACTCATACAACGTGTAGGGCTTGAGGTTTACATCTGGAAAGAGAAAACAGACAGTGATGTTTGTATTATTCTTACTTTTTTAAACCATCATATTAGAAATGAATATCAAAACCTTTAAAAATTGAAAAATAAATGCTCAAAGTTCTAATTCCTTTGTGCACATAAATCTCTAGTATCTTTATTTTCTAAATCATAAACAATATTTAAAGTGTTTACTGTGTGCAGAGATATGGAATTTTACAGAATAGAATTCACTGTTTCTCAACAGAGAACTAGGGATACATTAAAGAAATGACTGAAAAATAAAAGTGCTAGACTAATGTATAATAAGATGTTAATGTGTCATAAATTCATGTATACTTGACTTCTCTATGAGACAGAATGCCCACTTTCTTTTATAGTTTTATTATTATAAAACTTACCAAGTATTACTTTCTATTACTTTGTTATTACTTTATTAAAATAAAATAAAAAATCATATGAATTATAATATAGTTATTATCAGGCACAGGATTTGAAACTTAGCTTATCATGGTACTATGTTGGTGAAAAAAAATGAATGCATAATTCACTACATGCTTCCTTCCCTCTTCTACCAAAACCAGAACTGAAATCAAAACCAAAACCAACTAGCCTAATTAAAACAACAAAACCAAACCTGCTAAGCTTTTTGGACTGGTAAAAATTTTATTAGATGATAACTCATGTGATTCAACAGTGTTCCCAAAGTCTTAGTTCCATTTTAAGCGTTAATAACTTCAGAAGTACAAATGCAATAAAATTCGCCCCCCAAAATTACCTGAAAGTATAATTATTTAAGTTTATATTCCATTAATTTAATTTTGTGAATTTTGAATATGTATGTATGTATATATTTTTGTACAGTGGTTTCTAGGTGACTCTGAGGATCAGGAAAGGAGGTCTTCCCCCTTGGCTGCCTGGCCCCCTGCTCTATCTTCACTGGACACAGAGTTAATCCTCAGTCCTCCTCTTGGATTATTTGAGCCACATTCTCCTTATGTGCATGTAATTACAATAAACCCTGCGCTGCCTACTTTATAGAATTAATAGGAAAATAAAATGCAATAAATTATGTGGCAGAACTTCATAAAATGTAAATTTCTCTACAAGTGTCTCCATTTTTGTTGGTAAGAGAGTATCTGCCACTGGTCCCCTGTGATGACTATCATGGCTCCCCAGATCTCCCTTCTGTCCTGGTCGGAGACATCCTGATTAGGAACAACGTTTTTGCCAGTTTTCTTTGCAGCTTGATGTGGTCACATGATTCAGATCTCAACATCCGAAGGAGTATGGAAGAGATGAACAAGTTCTACATTGCTTTTTAAAGAGAAAATCGCCTGCCTGCTTCCATTGCCATTCTTAGCCCCTGCTGCTAGGCTGGAGCTGGGATGCTGTAGTAACACAGTGGATGATGGTAGCACCTGAAGCATGATGCACCACAACATGGAAGGACACTGGATTCCTAAAAGACCTTGCTGGACTGAGGTGCCTGGACCATCTACCTGCCCACAGACGGTCACTATATTTTTGCATTTCTTTGCTATAGCAGATTAAACTGCCCATTGCTGATAACTGTTGTTCTGTAGCCTCAAGCTCACATCACCATTTCTAATTTCAGTTGCTACTTCCTTGTTTCTTCATATAGGCTTCAAATCCCAATGAAAATTCTTATTTGTCTTTATAGCTGCTGGTCTAGTAGAGTGACTGGTTATTAGTAGGTATTTAATAAATATTTTTGATAAGTGATTTCATAAATGGATGAATTTTGATCAGCACTGGTATGGTCAGCTTTCCATTATAAGTTTTTTAAAAAGTCTGATTTAGTCTAAATTGTTCTTGATGGAATTGTCATAGCACCACTTGCGTGTTTAATATCTTTCATGAAAAAATGGTTATTTTTCATATGCAATCTATACTATTTTCTGGCAGGCAAAGCAATCTGAAATATAGATTTTAAAAGACTTCATAATATTATACCAGGAAGTGGAAACAACATCTATTCAGTTCTGGAGAGGGCTATTGCGAGTAGGTCTTAAAAGCTCTTCAAAATCTTGCTCTTGATTACAAGGGGCAGATAAAAGTAGGGAACTCTCTTAGATGGAAATTCAATAATTTCAAAATGAGGGTCCCTGATTTAAATCTATAACTGGGAGTAGGAAGAAACTGGAAGGTTGGGCAAACTATCCTTTCCTAATTCAATTCACTCCAATAAATCTTTTTGGTTTACAGTGTGCTGACTCCAAATAATAAGGTAAAGGTAAACAAAGATGTCCTATTCATAAGGATATTTCAATCTAATAGGAGAGATAGTACAAGTGTTCCAATGCATATGACACATGGCAGAAGTGATGAACTTTGTAAACAGTGTGCCACAGGAACACACAGGCAAGAAGTGGCTGGACTTGGCAAGCCTATAAGGGGACATGAATCTTGACGTGGACCTTGAGTAGGACAATGAAGGATGTTTCAGAAGGAAAGAAGAGCTCGAGGGAGGTTTGGGGCACTGTAAAAGAAGCTCCTATGCCATGTGAGTCTTTTAAATCTGCCCCTTTGAAGATGGCATAATTTGAATCTGTTTCCTTACCATGGCAAGTTACTTTTAGAGATCTGACTCTCAGTTTCTTCATCTGTTAAATGATCATTCTTACATGATTGCTTTGTGGGCAACTGAGGTAAGGCTTTAAAGTACCTAGCACAGCACTGGGACCAAATAATGTTCAATAGACTTTCTATTTCTTTCTTTCCTCTTTAATCTTCCCCCTCTTATTTTTGGTATCCTGACTTACTTTTTGCATTCCTGTGGTTTGCCATTATCACCCACTATTGGAAGAGTAAGGTGAATGATAATTCATCATGAAATAGAGCATCGTTTCATTTATTTAACCTTAGCATGTTCAAATTATATCACTCAAATTGATTCTATTTGACTCTAGATTGTAGATCATACACACACACACACACACACACACACATATTGATTTTTCCAAAAACAGTAACACATTCTGTAGGGACTTAAGTAAATGGATAAACAATAAAAATTTAATAGATGGAAGAACTATTTTAGAGATAATTCTAAACTATACAGTGTTTCTCACTCAGCTCAGCCAGAGCTCAGAAACACTATTTTGGACCAATTCAGTAAGGCCAAGATGGTGCTTGGAAATTAACATTTTCAACAACTGCAAAGGTTATTGTTTTCAAGATGATCAGCCATCTTGGAGGAACACCACACTTGGGCTTACCTCTTCCTCAGAATAACACTGCTAAGTTTTATTAGTAATCAGGTTCCTTCTAGCTTCCTGCTTGCAAGTATAAATGAAATTCATTCAATGCATTCATTGAAAGCTGCATTTGAGCTTTTGGAAAAGAAAATTGAGTTTATTGTGTATTAACTGGATATACTGGCAAAGGGCACAGATTTACTTTAAAACAGCATATAACTTTGCTTAAAGTTAGACTTAAAATGAATTTTAAACCACTAACTATCAACACATCCAGATTATGCCTTTAATTACCTTGTAACTAGCTGGCCCCGAACTATGATGGAACTTACTGATATCAGGTTAAGGAGGGATGATGTTAGAGTGAAATAAATCTACATTTCAGCAGCTTTTTCTCACTACCCCACTAAGCCATGGGCAGAGAGCTCACTTTCTGTTACCTGTGAAGGAGTATGTGTTTACACTCCCTGTGTGAACAGTTTCTTCAGCGGATGAACACATTTCTTCGATTGATGTCTTCCCTGTGGAATTGTGAGACCTTCTCATCACAGTACAAACATGGCTGGTAAAGTTGAAGTCACACCTGCCACAGTATGCTGAGGCTTCCATAGATGCTGGGCAGAGGGTCCTGCACTCTTTGGTTTCCTAAATCAAGTGGTAGAGGTGGGGAGAGAGAAAGAAAGGGATTTTTAAATTTCATTTAGACAAACCTGGGGTAGATTTTTATAGCTTTCAAATGAAATTTTTCTTCCTATTTGATAAATAAATATCTCAAAATTTGTAAAAAGCAATGAAAGCAGTTTGTATCCTAAAAAGAGCAGTTACTTTGAAATGACACAGACTTGGATTAAAATTCCAGTTTTGTAACTTCCTAGCTCTGTAACCCTGGCAAATTACTTATGTCCTTAAAGCCTCAGCTTCTTTAGAGGGAAAAATGGAAATAGAATTTACCATGATGGTTTGTTGTGTGAATCAAATAACATCTGTGAATGCCTTAATGACTTAAACTTAATATACACACTACAAATAGTAACAGTAGTCATTACTTTATTATTGTTACTTGACACTTTCTTGTGAAGTTTTAGAGAAAATAAATAATGGAATATTTGAGAATCAGTACTTCCTGTGGTGTTGGGAAAGTTGGTTCCACAGGAAGTATTACTCATCCAAGTTTTCAAAAAATCAAAATATTTCATGAATAGTTATTATAATTATTTATACTCATAAACCTTTTCTCCGATGAATCTTTGGATTTTTTATGGGAAAATTCAATACTTAATCATGCCAAATTACAGGAGCTATAAATAAAGTAATATTCTTATAATGCAGAGATCTACTTTGCCTTTCCTTTATAGAAGTAGCATAGTGTATTTGGAATACTTTTTGCTATTAAAAATTGATCCCCATTCAATTTCTCTCTTACAGAAAACAATTTGAATTATTCTCACCAAGTTAGTCAAAAGAAAGCTACTTCAGAAAAATATAGTGGGACTTGGGACTTCCATTTAAAAATGGCGAATTGAACACTTGGATATATCTCCATTTTTTCTGAAAGCCCAACCAAATGACAGTAAAAGAAATGTTTAAATATAGAAAGTCTTATGGAAAAGGAAGGGAAATAATGCACACAGGACTGCTCAAACATTTTTGGAAGCTGGCTGGGGCATGGATGTGGCACAAACAATGTGATGTGCTTAGTGTGTCCATTTTCCCCTTTTCTCTGTGGGAACATGGGATTTTCAAGCCCCGGTGCAATAGGAGGAGCCACATGACTAGATATGGCTGTGTGACTAGTGTACAGAAAGTATGTACTCTGTATCCAGGAATGACCCACCAGCGTGCAACTGTCCACTCTCTCTCCCTTTCCATGTGACCATGGGGCTGTGTGTGAAGCAAAAAACAAGATGGAAGGGGCTTGGGTTCATGAGATGTTGCTTGGAAGAGACCTAACTCACATTGGATTGTAATGTAAAAAATTAAAAAACTAATTTGCTAAGAGGGTAAATCTTAAACATTCTCATCACCAAAAAAAAAAAAAAAATACAAAAAGAAAAGAAAAAGAAAAAATTGATAACTTCCACATAGAGGCACATTGTCATGAAATTTTAAAAGAGCAGGATAAAGAGAACATCTCTAAAAGCTGTCATAGAAAAAGATAACATGGTTACCTACAAGGAGATGGGAGTCAAAAAATCAACAGAGGCTTAAAAAATGCAGAAATGCCTTCAAAATTCTGAGTAGAGATGATTTTTAACCTGGAATTGTATATATGGTTAAGCTATCAATCCAGTGGGAGAGTAGAAGAATGATACATTCATACGCCAAACTCTCAAAAAATTTACCCTGTATGCATCTACACTCAGGAAGATAATTCTCCAAAAGGAAAGAAACTTGGGGAACAGAACACAGGGGACCAACACAGGAAAGGGTTGAAAGGAATTCCTGAGTTGACAGTTTAGGGAAGATCCACTGGGCCAACTATGTAGAAATCCTACAGTGATCCTGTCCAAATCACAGCAGAAGATGGAAGTCTCCAGGAGAGAGGTGTTCAGGAAACAAAATGAAATCTATAGAATGAACAACATTACCTATAATACACTACTTGATTCAGCATGAAGAAATATTGTCCTCATCATAATAATTTACAAACCTTATGTATTATCTTAATCATTCATTGCTACAAAGTGCTTGCAGGGCCCCTATCAATGTCATAAGAGCTATTTCACATCCCAAAGTGTATGATGTCTACACAAGGGTTGTGCAGTCACCTCATTCAGCAAGTGCCCTTCCACTCTCTGTGACCACGTCACCCACTTTCAGCCATCTCATAAGGACAAATTCCTACAGAACATGGTGGGTAGGGTGTTTGTTTTTTTAAACGTTCATGAGCCTTCCATTAAATTGATAGGTTTCTGGAGTCCTGGGTCAAGTTTAATACCCACAAACATGACATGGCTGTATGTGAAGCATCACCACATACACGCATACATGATCACACCCACAAGCCTAGGCACTTTTGTGGCTGACAGAGGCATTTTCTCATCTTGCCCTGTCTAAGGGAATACGATATAAACACAACTAAGTGAATTTTCTGGGTCTGAGGTCTCTAGCAGAGGCAGGTGTTGGGTTCTGGTTGGCAGGCAAGAGGGAAGAAGTAGGAATTTCCCTCCCTCTTCAGCCCCGGCACTCAGAGGCGTGAAATGGCACCGTGCAAAGGCCCCAGACAACCTGTGCTGGCTCTTCCAGCAGACACAGACTTTCAGTCCTGCACTCATCTGAAGTGCTGGGTAAAGCTTCCTTGAGAACAGCTAATCATTATTAATTCCTTTAGAATTCATTGCAATAACATCAATCATAGCGAACTCATTCGGTATTAATATGGATGTAATGTGAAAATGAATAATGCACACAGGAGTTTTTATATTCCTATTTTAGAAAAATAGTTACGAACAATGTATTTCTCTTTCCATTGTCAAATCAGCACCTCCGAGAGGGTTTCTATCAATTACCTTCATCATCATTCCAGTTGAAATCTTGTCAGAGCAAACATATTTCAAAGGATTATATCCAACTCCATTACAGCATCTCTGGCTCTTTGGAATAAGTTCAGTCTCACAGCATTTTACTGGCACTGGGTCATTCTTTTTAACATGTGCTTTAGACTCTCCACTGGAAGCTGAGCAGCATATGGTATCTGACATATTCACATAATCCTGCCCACAACAGAACATCCCTGCAACAATAAAATGTTATATATGAATATGAAATAAAAAAAAGGAAAGAAAACTGAGGCTGCTATAAAGTTTGATATAAAAATGTCAGACTCAGGCAGTTGCTGAAATGGTGCAATACCTGAGGTAGCATTTCCCTACCAAGGTGATTTAAATGTGCAGTGAGGGTCCTTCTTACCAAGAGCACTAGACACTAATTAGGAAAAGAACACACAAGAGGAAGTGTTCGGAAATCATTCTGTAGGGCCAAGCTTCTCTCACGCTCCATAAAGAAAAGATCGGATTTCTGTCATGAAAACTGCCTGCCCATTTTGGGATGGTAACATCTTGTTGCAAAAGAAAGTTAGTTAAACTGTAGGGATTCAGAGAAAGCTCTAGAAATTTACAAGGCAGAAAAGGTCACCCAAGCACTCTGGAATAAGAGGCAAGGCAGAGCAGAAAGGTAGCTCCATAGTAGAACTGGAAACCCTGTGGTAGGAGCCTTGCAAGTTGTTGCCTAGCCTGTCTAGGATACAAAGATTTTCTTCCTGTGAATGTAGCTACAATGGTGACCATTCCTTCTCCATGAGATAGCTTTGGCATTCAAAACCAGCTGAGAGTGTTCACCGATCAGGTGCCCCAATCAGCCAGTCTTTTGAGCCACTCTGTGTTCTAGACCCATCGTAGACATGGGTGACAGGTTGGGGGCAACAACAGAAAGACCTTGTAGGGAAGATCATTGATCCCCACACCTTGATGAAAGACACATGTATCTGAGACACCAAGTAGACTCTTTTCTCCCACCAAATTCAGTTTCATTGCCTGTGTTCACATCATTTAGACATTGCCATAGAAGAGAAACAGCAGAAATTTTGACATTAACGCATGAATAAATAATACCCTAGAGTCAGATCAAGCTAGAAATTAAGGTGCCTATACTGCATGTCACAGGGCTATCACATTAGAATTTATATCCAGTTATACAGCAGCACAATGTGATGAATGATTTATTTTAATTAGAATTTTGTTTGTTTATTATTAGTCCCAACTGATAACATAAAGAACCTCAAATTCAAAGTGCCCCGGGGTCTTGAATTGTTTAATCTGGTTCTGTACAAACACCTACATTATGACAGACACTCCTAATAATGGATCAAGGAGTTTTAAGTGTTTTTGGTTTTTTAAAATAATTGAAAGTAGACACTTGTTTGGCACATCCCTTAAGAAAGATGTTTATCTGCACATGACTCCAAAGAACGCTTATACTGATATTGCCACTTTAAAATATATTTCCCAGTATTTAAAAAACCTTATTTACAATTAATGATATTCTCTGATCATAACAGAGTTTTGGCATGTCATGTTTATCTAAATGTGATAACTTTTCAAAGTAATTGGTTTAAAAATAAACTGTTATATTAATAATTCTAGTCGTTTTAACATTTCCAGGAAAAGTTCTTTCAAATAAAAACACGCAGCAGGGTTATCATTGTAGTCTGAGTCTTGACTATGATGGGCAAATATACGTGTGTATATATGTAAATACATACATACATGTGTGTACATAGACACACATATAAAATAAAAAGAAAAATCCACAGCTTCAAGTTTTATATTGTTTGGACATTTTTCTGCTGCCTTCTGATTAGACATTTAAATACAACCTTGGATTCTTTATTGTCATTTTTTTCTCTAGCAGTTTTCTTAAAACAATTCATGTTTCTATTTTAAAGAGCAATCAAAACCTGAAAACTAGTCCTTTAGGGAGCAGAATATATTCTCTCCCTCTACTTCCAAATTACTTCATGGTTTCACTATGCTCTAAGTATAAAATCAAAATGCAGACATTGACCTAATTCGAAACTCCTAATCAGTCATCTGATCGCTCTGAGGGACTTTTGACAGGTCAACTAAAATTTTGATAATGAACTGTTTTTCTATTACTAAAAAAAAAAAAAAAAAAAAAGGATGCTTTCTTTCACAAAGAGCTTCATCTTTGTTTTACTGAATTGAAATTTTCAGCCAAGATTTCACTCACATAACAAGAAGTGACTCCCTTTCTAGTTTCTTTGGTAAACCATTACTTCTTTAATTATTATCAACCTTGTTCCAGTGTGATAAATTGCTAATTACTTAATACCCTAATCAGCGTTCATTCTTTGCACAGATAAACTGTGACAGTGCCATTAATTTAAATAGTAATTTCACTTAATGGCCAGAACGGCACACCAGATTTTTATGCAGCATTTTCTGAAGACTGCATCCATCACTGCAATATTCTGACATAAAGATGTCTGACGTGCACTAACTCACTTAGGGAGAGCAGATGTTGCCGAGCAGAGTTTGGTAGTAATTCCCATAGTGCATCACTTCAGCATGAATGAGCTGCAAATTCAGAGACAGACAATCTTCCGAAACTGCACTGCAATAACTTTCGACCCCTACCTAATTTATCACATGTAGCACTTGACTTTTGAACTTTGACACACACAATGCACAATTTAAAATATGCCCAAAGAAAAACAAAATAGGTCATGCATTATTGATGGATTGGTCCATTCTTCCAGAGGCTCTTCATTAAATTTGTACAAAGGTAGAGTCTCTATGAACAAAATGCAGATGTCATTAAAGTGGTACAGTACACATTAAACTAGTAGATGTTTATTTTTCAGATCAAAGAGCATACACTGTCTTTCCAACAGCATATATATCCAATGGATGGTTTCCATTGGATTGAATACAACTGAGAAATCATGGAGGAAAGAATATTTTACTCACAGTATTATTAATAATTCAAATATGTTACCAACACTTATTTAATGTCCAGGTCTGAAAAGAAAGGCATATAAACATATCTGCTTGATGAATTTCTAAATAGTTCAATCTGAAAAACTAGTATTCCATGTTTTTTTTTAAAAGAAGACCAAGAATTATGCATCATGCTTTTGAGTTAAAAAATAGGATAGTAGTAAAAACCAGTCTGGAATATGACAAATCATTGTGAAACTCTGGGATTGATCATGGTGACTACATTTTAAGCCAAGGGATATTTTAGGCCTAGAAGAAAGAAAAAAAAAAGGTTTATGATTAGTTATTCTTAGAATAAATGTATAAAATTAGTGGCAGAGCAAGAAAGGCAAGAAATTCATGCTTGTCTTCACCAGTAGATGGCTCTGTGGCTACCACCACAAAACTAAGAGAGAAAGGGTAGAGTGAAAATGTTCCCCAAATCACTGCAGTATATTTTATAGCATTGATATATTACACCTTTCAAAAAATTCATTATGTTATATGAAAATCTTCCAGGGAACTGTTCTTTCAATACAACTCTTACACCATGGATTTCTGTGGCTATACTTCCTTCTTTGCAAAATTCCCAAATTCCATCTTGTGTAGTCATGAGTTCCAGTGAAGTCAGAGCCCAGGACATGAAAACTCAAGTGTTCTATTCTGAAACAATTTCAACCCAGAGTTTCACATCAAAGTCTGCATGGACAAAATTTATAATAGAAATAAGGCAATATATTCCAAAGGCATCTCATGATCAGTTTCCCACAGGCTAACAGAAAATCCTGTCTTCTTTGAATGATAGAGGGGCTTTAATCTCCATCTTTGAATATTAAGGGATATAATCAAGTCCAACCCAAGATTAATGGCATAAATGATAAAACCATATAAGCAAACACGAAGGAAAAAAATGAGTAATAAAGAGGTTTAAAATATATTGAAAGAAAATGGCCAAGAATACATATCCCCTGAAATGACGAGCATGACTTTCATCCCGAGATACCTGTATAACACTCCTACACAACTCATCTGCCCAGAGAGAGCACTAAAAACATAAACGCCACCCCAGCACTTCTGTTCCAACAGCATCTGTTAATTCACTCCATTTATAAAATACATATTGACAAAGACAACTGAACTGGGACCAGAGAGATTTGATTTGGTGTGAGAAAGTCAATTCAATGTGATTTTGTTAAAGGGCTCCTGCAGGCAAATAAAAGAGTTTAAGTAATAAAGTACATAAAGAGATGTTTTACGAGCCAGCCTGGTCTCGTGGCAGGCACACAATGCCAGGCAGCGAGAGAGGCCAGGCTTAGGAACAATATGACGAGATCCAAACCCTCATGTAGCGGATATGGTGTTGCTAGGTTGAAGAGAAAAAGGGCCATATGGATATTCTGGAAGGTCATTAAGGTCACAGTCATTAGGGACGACAGGAGCGAGCAGCAGCAGTGGGACGGAGAAGACATGTGGAACCTGTCTATTTTCAGTGAAACCTGCAGGAAGGTCAGAGAATAAAAAGGGATTTTTTTTCCCTTTCTAAAAGTATCATTCCTTCACTCAAGGATGATTGTCAGAGTCGGAGAAGTTGCAGAATGTCATGAGAAACTCTCTGGATTTACAGAGTTTACATAATTTGTTTAAGAAATATTTGATTGGTATAGATCATCCTATTGAAGTAAATAAAGAAATGATTCTGAAATTTGGGTCCACGGATGGACTTCAAGGCAAAAGTTGCAGGCAAATTTGCGGACATATTCTATGTACTTTTACTTGAAGTGTCACTTTCACAAGATTCTAAAGAAAAAAAGATTAAGAACCATTGTCCTAGTGGACAGTACTCTCTACGCCACTTCTTAGAACAGGTGAATTTTATCAAATATTTTATGGCAATGATGTTCTGACTTCTCTCTCCTTCTCCTTCACATTTGTTCTGCTGCCCTAATTTAATTAATCTCCTTAAATCACAGTTCTTATCATCACATTGACTCTTCTCCGAGCACTAAATAATGTTCCAATCCTTGTGCCTGCTCAGATTTATCTCCCTCTCTTTCCTTACATCGGGTGTGTCTCGCCAATAAACCAAAGTGCTCGCTCCCGTGTGGATGGGTTTTGCAGATTGCTAATTTCACACTTTAACCCCAGCCACACCTCTCCAAATCCTGCTCCTTGTGTGAGATTCCAGTCCCACGAAAAAACCCCTTTTATGCCCTTGACTGAAGTGATCTTGCAGTCT